AACCTGGGTTTGGGCCAGATGCGGTAATTTTGAGTGTTTTGGGAGGGAACCCAAGAAAATGCGCTGCCTGCGTTGCCCGCCCCTGGGCGCAGCCCCTTAACAATGCACTAAACAAAGACTAGACAACAGTGAACATAACCTGAGCAAACAACCACAAAATCTTTCGCCGACGGCGTCACTGATTCTGGCGCCCCTTGAGCCTGCGCTGCTTCGTGGTGTTGAGGGCCCGGCGCACTGAACCCGGCAGCGATTCCACCTTCAAACCTCAGTAGAGTAGCGCAGAAACGCAACGTGGTGGCTTTCGTGCGGTAGAAATGGTAGAATTGCAGTAGGACAGGAGGACGATGAGGAGGGGATTGCAAGTGGCCAGAAATGAAAGCAAAAAGCGAGCGCAGTGTGGGAGGAGAAGAGGGAGAAGGGAGGAGAAGGGTATGAGGAGGGTGAAGGAAGAAGACAGGCGAAGCACGAACAACATCGTTTCTTCTGCAAGGGGGTAGCGACCACAAGTGATCGTAGTTCCTCTGCTCGGTGATTGGCAGGTGATTCCACCGCTGGGATTTCCACACGGCCACGATCCAAGCTTCGAACCTTCGTCACCGATCCGCAAAGGACATCACTAGCCTGCGTAGTGGAAATGTCGGGAGCATTGGGGGCTCACAGAGTGCTGGGCTACCGGCTCCAATGCTTGGCATGGGAGGCTGAAGCACAGCACCTCTCCGAGGAAGCTCGTTCTGAAGTGGTTTCCAAGCACTGTTGCTGCCGGCTCGCGCCTGTTGCTAGAACGAGAATCATTGCTTGGGAGATGCTGCAGACCATGCCAGGGAGAGCGTCTCGGAAAGCCCTACCTGAAAGCACGGTTAGAAGTGGACATAGGTACGCTGGCCATGAGATTGAAGCATGCCGCCGATGCCTGGAATGGAAGTACCGCGCAGCGAACCGCCGGCAGTTCTGCTACGCATTCCATCATCTGCTAAGGTCAGATATGATGTTCCTTCATCAAAAAGGACGCAGCCCGAACCTCGAGCCAGTATTCTGGGTACAAGCGTGCCATGGCGGCCTTGCGTGAAACCAGCAGTACGGCCCAAGATGATCGGCTTGCTGGGGCTTTGCCTTGTTGGCGTCACGGACACCTCCCATGAGTACCAAGCCATTCCGGCGGTCCCGTGTCTTGGGAGAGGAGGAAAGTTCAGGAAAAAGCCGCAGTGGCACTTGAAGACGTTTCCGCATACGGATCCTGTCGGCAAAAGCGGCCGTGAGCGCTGAAGGGTGGTCAGGAGGAATTCGTTGACACATTGTATGAGATCCGTATGGGATGCAGGATGTACCTACATTCAGTAGAAGCACTTCGCCGACTAAAGATCTCCGCCCGACAACAACCTATCTGCGCATTCATCATCATGAATCAGATCAAACAATCTTTGATGTGATGCAAGCCAGTAGAATCCTAGGACCCGACCTGACAGTTTCCTATGCTTCATCCAGCTCTGACAGTTGGGGCAACCTTTCCTTGAGCAGCTGCGGCGCGGCCAAGGGATCTCAAGCAAATCTGGCCATCGCTCATTGCAACACATGCTATCATCGACCCGCCCTCAGAGCCCCACTCTGCAGTTGAACCTGAATAGGTTTGCACTTACAACTCGCACTCAGCACAGAGAGGTTTGGTGGGCTGTGTGCTGGGTAGGCTAAGGATGAACGACTACAACAGGAATGGTGGACTCGTGGTGAAGCTTTCTGCGGCGCCCTCTGCTTAATGCAATCAAGTTCTCCAGCGAGCTTCAGTGATTTTCAAGCCTCTTCCACTTCATATGACCGTGCCAACAATTTCTGAGAAGGCAAGGCAATGCCTACGTCAAGAGATGTCCCAGCAACCGTCCGTGTAATCGAGTGCAATCTTGTGATTGCTGTTGTTTTTCCAAGGTAGGGTAGGTGCTGTCCGAACCTGATGGACTCTCGGACTGGAAAGCATGTTGCGGTGACCTTGTCACCTATGTCCTGTACACGGCAACCCCCACCAATGGGAGTGTGGAAACCGACCAAGAATTATCAGGACAGTCAAACATGAGGAAGCATTGAACTCATAGCCAGGCGGTCAGCTTGACCCGAGCTGCGACGTGGGCAGCTTTTGAAGCTTAGTTTACCAGTTCACCATTGACCCACGTGGTTCCGAAGGCGCACTTAACGCCATCCTTGACCTGAATCAGTATCAAAGAACCAGACATGACTTGTGTCAAAGTCATTACATGCAATCAAGAGGCGCCCCCAGCACGATACACAAACTGTTGTGAGAAGAGCTTCGGAGGTCGAATCGCTCCATTGTCTCCATAGACGGCACAAATCTCTCGGCACATGTAATCTGCCTTGCTATTGAGTTTCATCTGGATGCTCGCTTGCAGCATCTCTGGCTTCATCACAGTTCCTCGGATGTGAGAAAGCTTCATGCATCGTAGAAATTGCAGATGAACTGCAGCGTGGACATGTGCGAATGCGAAGCACGCCTCGCGGCCCTAAAGAGAAACTACTCGATAGTGGAGGGTGCCATGCAAGAAATTGGACAAAGGCCAGCTTAATTAGCATGCAGCTGAATCCTAAACACTTCTATCATTGCTCTGATGGTCACTCCTGCTGCCTTCATGCATCTCTGAGCTATGATGGTGCGCGAATTGACTGCATGTGTGGCTTTTTTGGGCTCCGCGCTGTCGAGCCCTCATACCGCTCTCAGAATCTGTGGGCCACACAACATGTCTTCACTCGGACTTTACAAAAACCCCAGGTTGACCCGTTGTCCGAATATCAAGCACGCTTCCATGCTCTCCCCTCCTAGAACAGAAACACGCCGCGAAGGAATGGCTGACATTGGGGTCAATGGAGGCGTTAAGTGCTGAGGACCAACTCTCTTCAGCCGCGGCTCCTTTCACTTCCCACTTGCCTCTCTGCTCCTTGCAGTCCTTCTCGAACAACAAAGAATCATGATTCGGGCGACGTGTGCATGGAGTTCTTCTGGAACGTCGTGGAACAAAGATAGCCAGATTGAAAGTGCTGAGCCAGCCTCCGTCAATGCCAATTGCCTTACTACCTACCTGCCACCTGCTCACTATCTGCAATCACCACCTTGTTGAAGGGGCCATTCTGTGAAGTCCCACAAGCCTTAAGGGCCCTAATGAAAGATCTCCAAGAAGGGTGATGCTAACGCAGGACAAGTATGGCAGTCCTTGAAGAAGACGGGTTCGTAATTGGCAGCTGTGGACTTGACCCCTTCGCACTTCACACTGTCGCAGCAGTTCCTTAGCTTTGAAGGTTCATTCCCAACCTTTTACCTACCAGAGCTGTGGCAAAAAACCCTTGAACCTTTGGTTAAAGTAGTGTTGCGCTATCGCACGCGCAGGTCGCCGACGGACTCAACCGAAGGAATAGCTGACGCGGACGCGTCTTTTCATCTAATGATGCCATTCACTGTCGAGAGCTACCGCGCGAACCACAAAAGCTGACGCGGCCAGTCTTTACCCTAACCCTCATAGAAACCTGCGAGTCTAGACTCCTGGAACTTACAACCTGAAGCAGCGTTTTGGTATTTGCACACAGGAGGAGCAAAAAGACCTGCAACATCCTCCAACGCATCCCCAGATTCCAACACCAATCTTGCGACTCCGTCTCGGTGGCATTCGCTGAGGGCCTCAGCTGAAACATTGGAAGCCACACATAAACACATCTGGACTCTAGACGATGAGACAAGCCATGCGTGCAAGAGCAGTATGATGCCACACAGTGCCAGCCAACTTCCCGATTTCAACCACCGTACCCATAGCTGCTTGCCTAGTCCACACGTCACACGAGTCCCTTCCGTAGCCCGAAAGGACGATCTCATGTCATCCAAGCGACTCCGACTCCGAGCGTATGGCCAGGCTCGGCACCCAAAGGCAAAGGCAAAGCGAGAGGGAAGGAAGCAAAAGCTTTCGCAAAAGCATCATTGCTTTGCTCAAGCCGACAAATCTTTCACAATCCTACAATAATCCTGTCTTCTGAGCCTAGGCTGCGCCAGCACCTCTCACACGAAGGCATTCAGACACTGCAACTGCACCAAGAAATTGAGCTTCATCAAACTCAAGCTCTCTTCCTGATTTTGGCTTCAGTCTCAAGTTGTGGCCGGTGTTTGTCAAGGTGCGATTGACTCACGAAGGGTCACTACAGCAAGATGCCTATTGTGCTCACGTGTGATATTCGTGCTGTCAGCCATCTCAAGTTGCATCACTAGGATGAGACTTGCAACTCTGAAGGCTAAATCTCTTTTGACAGCTTCCTGGTGAACTTCTTCAATGAACGGCTTTGGACGTAGGAGTCAGCTGACAGCAAAGCCAAGCTGCAATCTGCACATGCAGTGAAACGCTTGCGAGCAGCTGCAACTCTCAAAATGGTTGAGGCCCGGAACCACTCCAAGCACAAGAAAGGATGCAGGACTGAGTTCGCTCAAGGGGTACTGCTCTCAGGCCTCGGATGTATAACATGACGCACACATGCGCACAGCGACAGGAACCAGAATTGTAGTGCCTTCTCGTTGATGACGCCGATTAGCCATTGCATGCCATCTTCCAGTCCTGTGCCGTCCTTGGCACTGCAGGCCTGCAAGGGGCTTCAAGGGGAAGAAGACTGGCGTGATTGGCAACCTGCCTGGATGGTCCAAGTGCGGTCAGAGATGCTGGCCTGGCAGAAAAGCCCTGCCATGCATCACCTAGAAGACCGGCTCCTCGTGTCTAAGGCACCAGATCAAGTGCTGCTGCGATCTCATCAGCTGGAGTGGCCTGTGCAGCACCATGATCCCATCTTTACAACACAATTGAAATTCCAAGCTTTAGAGGGCCTGAAGAAGGTCCTGCTTATTGGCAAACACCAGCAGCGGAATTCCTCCAAGCCTTCCGGAAGGTACGGGCTGCCCGGCTGGTGGCCAGCTGGCCAATGCTTCGAAGCAGGTAAAGTGGCTAAACTGCGCTAAGAGGCTTGTCTTCAGCAAGAAGTTCGCGAAGTTCCTGACCATTAAGTCATGGTAAAGCTCCAAGCAAACTTGAGATGCTTTGTCGGGTCCTGTCCACTCTCCTCAAGCCGTCTCCGGTCTGAACCTTAGCTGTTTGACGAATGTCGTGCCTTCAGGAGCTGCTCGAATTGTTGGAAGCGCGCTGTCAATCACATAGACCAGCGCATCCGAGGACTCAAAGTAGTTGCTCCAGTACCTGCCGACAGAGCACATGGTAATGTGTAAGCGCAATGTCGGGGACGCTCACGGGCGAATGGTCTTCTGGCCACCAATATCCCAAACATTCAGCTTGAAACCTGAACATGTAGGCAGCTAGGCGGATACTGGCTCTGCTGTTACAATCTGTGGCCCAGACCCTCCTGCACCAGGCTCTTGATGTTGAAGCCCTCGCCGCACACTGTACCATGGAACGCCAACATGTGTGTGCAACCGGCCAAGCCCGCAAGGGCAACGAGCAGCAACCCGTGGAAGAAGTCACCAAGAGTGAGACAGGTAAGCCAAGGCTCCTTGCCTGGGTGGGCATGATATGGCTGATGTCTTCTTGTGACCTCAACGCAGGAAGTCTTTCCAGTTTCTAGAACACTCTGAACCCTAAACCCAGGAATCCACCAACCTTGGCCAGGCCCCAGGCAGTGTCTTCAGGATGGTTGTCTTGCCGGCGTTGTCCAGACCAAGCATGAGGATGCGCGCCTTTGCAGACGGGGCTCTTCTTAATCTTGGTCCTTATAGGAGATCCTACCCATGCTTCAGAACTGCAGGTACTGGATGGACCACAGGACCAAGCCAAGCATTGTGGAAGCATTTTGTGGTGCCTCTTTCTCATCCTTCTTCATCTTCTTCAAGATATTGAGCAGGCCCATCCTGCCAAGAGCATGCAGTCCCTGGCGAACGCTCTCGCAGTCCTGGTGCCTGTTGAAGCTCTGCAGCTTGCAGCCCTCTTGAAATGCCGGGTGTGTTGCTTTACGCTCTGGGCCAAGAAGTGCGCGGAACCCAATGCAGGTCAAAGTACTTTAGCTCAAGACTCTTATCGAAGATGTTCTAGCTGCTGGACGTGACAGCAGTAGAAGTGGCACCAAGAAATGAAGCAAGCATGTCTAAGAAGATGCATAAGACCAACATCAGGTGACAGCAGGCATCACAAGCCTAACAGGCCTCCAGCGAGCAATACTTTGAACAGACAGACCAGAAAAGTCTGCAGTTTGGAGTTAGGAGCATGCGCTGCGCTTAAAGTGCCGCTTGTGCTGGGCGAAGCTCTGCGATCGTGCTGAACCCACCCCCGGCTCCGAAATCAATCTTCCGGTGCGAGGAACTGGCTAGTTGATCTGGTTACTGGCGACAGGCGCCGCTGCAAGGCTTAAGACCTTCAGACCTGCAGCTTTAGAGGGCAAACTGACAGGCATAATTGGTGTCTGTTTACTCAGCCATTCGCTTCAGTGCTTGATCAACCTGAGGCAACCATCAGGCTATCTGGCAAAGGAGAAGGGAGCAGCTCAAACAAGTGGAAGGATGAGTCGGTGACCAAACCCCCTGGACATCAGGTAGCTGCTTTTCCGTGGAGCGGGTCAAGCGAGGACCGAGGACAAGCCAGAATGCCCGTGTGACCTCACAAACACTTCGTCCGACGTATGCCTTTGGCAGTGTCCGGTTTTTCTATCCTCTCAAGTATGAGGGGATGCTCAGCATCCTTCTTCATCCACATGTACATGTAGGCCGGAAGTCAAGATGGGTCTGACCGCCTGCATCTACTCCTCCAGACCTTGCATGCACAAGGTTGCAAACTCCGTCTCGCGGGGATTCCGCGGGGAATCCACGGAGTCCTCAAATTGTTCTCGCTTTCCAGGCCACCTGGCACAGAGCAGGTCAATCCCGTCGGCACTTTCTGGACTTGACCTCCTGTGCCGAAAGCGCTGAAATCGCAAGTTGCGCGCCAAACGCTGCACAAAGCCTTCGATGCCATCATAGCTACGTCGTCTCAGGGAGATTATGGCATAGCCATCTGGAGACAGAATGCTCTCGATAGTTTCCACTAACTCTTCCCAGCTTTCACCATATGCAGGCTCGCACACGCAATCTGAGCACAGCACGATGTCCGCAAGGCTCGGAAAGCCATCTGGCCGCATGACTTGGTTTGGAATCAGGCGTTCCTCTTTTCGAACCGGTTCTGGCTTTAGAGCTCGATCGTTGCCAGAGAGCTCAAGGGCAGCGGATTCCAAGTCATCTAATCTCCTCATCAGACTCAGCGCTTCCTGTGCATCCCAGCGCAGAGGGGTGACAACAATGGTGCCTTGCCCAAAGTCGCCGGCATAAGACCGTTGTGCAGGTGGCCGCAACTCCGTCTTTACAAGCAATGGTCTGTTGCCATACGGGCGCACTAGCTGGACCCAACCTTCGGGCGGACCTGTGCCTGTCAGGCGGCGGTAATGCATCAAGTTCAGCTCGGTCCTGAGCTCTAGCTCCTCGACTAGAGCATCCCCAGACAAGCGCTCCTTCTCAATCTTGCCACCACGCTCCTTGGTGACGGGGATGCCCTCCGAGCCGCCGCCCACCACCCGCCAAACAGCCTGCGGCCATCCGTTGGCGGCGCTGTTGATCTCCATGTCCGAGATGGCCGAGGGCAGATCCGTCGCCACCACGCGGGCACCCAGTGAAGCACAGACCAGGCTGGGCAGGCCAACACCACAGCCGAGCTCAACAACGCGGGCTCCCGCCCTCAGCAAGCTACGATGGGCTTCGATGACCTGATCGCAGACAGCCACGCTGGGACCCCAATCCGAGAACGAGGAGCTCAAGGGCAGCTGCCTTACCAACCGGATCACCCGGTTCTGGGCTACGGGAATCTCACAAAGCAGCTCAGGGGGCTCCTCGGAGTCAGAATCTTCTCTTTGCTTATGCTGCACTCACTTATGCTCTTAAACATGCTTCTAAAAGCTAAAGATGAGCCATGCCATGTTTTGTTGCTCCTCGTCTTGAAGGTCCTGCTGGCTTCCAAAGCTTCCTAGGCGCTGCAGCGTCTTCTGGCTCCTGGGCGACTGGTTCGACTCGTAGAAGTTGCTCCAGCGAAAGAAGAGATGGGCAGACGGGCTGGTCGTGGGCGGAGTGATGAGCCTCCCACTGCGGTCCCGTGGCAGCCGCTGCACCTCGCTGTCTCCCAGCCGAAACCGCTCTTTAGAGCCAATCCGCTTGGAGCCAGCCCTTTCGTTGGACATGGCTACTTACCATGGGGAACCCTGCATTCTTAATCTCCAAACTCCAAACAGGGCCGGAGCCGTGCAGTCCAGCTAAGCTGCTAAGCTGCGATGTTCCGATTGGCACTGCCGCTTTACTGTTCAAGACGTGGTTCGTGCTACCAGCAAATTGAATTCCTGCTTCAAGCCGTTGCACAAGCCCAAGGACCAAGGTACAGACCAGGTATTCTCTACATGCTCACGAGTAACAGTGATGCACCCTGGCTGAAGCTTGCAGGAAGTGTGTATGTACGCCCTGTTTTGGCTTGGATGCTCGGCATCTGGATGTCAGTAGGAAAGGCATCAGGACCTCCATGTACTACTGAATTTCGGGCTAAGGCTAAGGTTTATCCTGGGGGCCTTCCATACTGCTGCATCCAACCCGCTCTCGACTGTCCAAGGCAGTCGACGAGACTCCCAGAACTGCCGGAGGTCAAGCTCAAGAAGTCGAAGCCAGTTTGATACGTGTAGCATGGGACAGTACACTCACAGCTTCTCCGCCAGCAGTCAATCCCCAGCTCAGCATCCACCCTGCTGCAGCTTGAATTGGAGCAGGCTAACCCGCCCCTCGCATGCATATTATCACATACAGATGACCCCAGCCAGCACACCGGAGTTTGCCTGGCACTTCTCCTAATCTCGTGCAGTCTCATATGTTTTCTTAAGAGGACTTTCAGTTCTGGTGGCATTTTGCCAGAGTTTCAGAGCAAGTCAGGAGAGCGATCAGATTGGCTGCGCAGACGGACCTGTCAGCCAACAAGCTTTCTGAATGCAGCTGAGCACCGTGATTGGCAGCTCAGCCAGCAGCGTTGTAAAGGCATTTCCTGCAAGATCACCCAGCAACTTCTGCGGGAAGTCCGTGTCTTTCAGATCCTGCACATTTCAGTATCAGCCGAACCAGCATGCTACAGACGCCACAGCACCCGCAGTATCTCACTCTTCGTCCTCCGCAAAGATCCCCTGCAACGCCAGCTTCTCGATGCCAAGCACCCACCGTCGCCGGCTTGAGTGCCAAAGGGTGCCTGGAACAAGTCCCCTTTTAGCCAGCTGACTGCTCTGACAACCTTAGGCTTCTAGGAGCTTGTCAAGCAATTGACCTGGCAAAATGCAGCTGGCATAGTTCTGCCGGTCACGTCGAACCCTTGTTCCTGTCATGCTGCAGAGGTGCAAAGTTGGCAAAAAAAACTCAGCATGCACCGTGATGCACCTGGCACCCGCTCAACACTTTGGGACAGCTCCCACAGCATTGGAAAGGTGCGCGGGTCCTTGTCCAAAGCGTATGTACAAGAACAGTCTCGAATCTGTGAGCGAGGATTTGCATGAAAAATGCCCATGCCTTGCCCTGCTCATTCATGACGTCCAAGCCTGCCAGATCGTCTGCCATCACGTGCGGGTAGTGACAGGAACGAGGTCCAGGCATTTCAGGTTTACAAGCTCCTTCTCTCGCTCGTTCAAAACCTTGACATCTTGGCACATGGGATGCTGGTCGAAGGACGGGTCTTCTGCATCGCCTGAAGGAACTCTGCGTCACGGACCGCGGTGTAGGGCCGGTCATACTGGTAGTCGTGCCTAGCTGTCCGAAAGCTGGCGGTACAGCTGTAGACATGCTGACAAAAGTTTTGATACCAAGCTGCTCTGTTCTGTGGCAGTCGTACTTCTGAGTCCAATCTAACTTGGCCCCAGCCTTCTTCTTAGCAACCTTGACCAGGCGCGCAAGGAGCGTTTCACAGAGCAGACTGACGGCTCACTAGGCACAGCCAAGAACAAGCCAAGCCGCCCAGCTTCGCCTTTTGGCTTTCACTGCCTGAAAATGTGCCCTGACCTGCAAAGCTGCAAAGGACCAAAGCCGCTAGGCCGCTAGGCATCGCTAGAATCTGCATTCTGAGGCAATTGCCCAAAAGCACGAATTGGCACTAGGCACACTGCTGCCGGATGATCGTCATCGAGCATGTAATCCTCAAACAGGCTCTGTAGCCCAAGCTGGTGAATCTGTGAGTTCAGTGGAGGTCCTCAAAGTGGAGCGCACATGGCTCTTCCAAGGCAACGAGGATGTCATTGAACTTTGGATGCACCTTTGGCTGCAACAACACCTGCCACCTTCAGAAACCTTTCGATGCCGCACCGTCTTGCTGATCAGCTCAGCTTGTTCTCGAAGGAGCTTGGCTTCCTCCAAGCCCTTTGGCGGCTTTTCTGATAGGCGAATGGCCCACATCCAAATCCTGCAAGTAGTCTCGCTGTATGAATCATATAGCTCACCGTCTATGCCTGTAGCCGGATGTATCATGACATCACTCCTGTGCCGGATCTGGGGAATGAAGTAGTCACAGCCTCAGCTTTGCATGGGTGCTGAGATGTGCTGAGCGCGAAGGTCTTCGCCAAATAGCCCAGTCTAGATCGAATCAAGGTGTCCAGCAACAATGGGGGGAATACGTTGCTCAGACTGTTTGACGGCGAGTGCAGCCAAGATGCTGTTGAGGAGGCGGTAGCCGGCTGCATAGCCTCGTTCCTGCCAGGCTATTGCAGTAAGGCTCGATGCAAACGCAAAGTGGACACGCGAGCACACGCACACAAACACACACCGCTCAGCTTGTTTTGCCTTGAGGCCTTCCATAACCAAGTCCACCTGCCCCATTAACATCATCCACAAGATCTCTCGAGAGAAGAAAGCATCTTGCACAAGATCGATGCTGTTAGGGCAAAACATGCCAGGACCTGCTTGAAGCCGATGCTGTTGCTCTTGGTAATGGCCCACACGTTCCTGCCACAAAGATGCTTCCCAATCGACCCCATACTGACTATACTCTGGTGTACTCTGCAGCCGAGCTTCTCCAAGAGAATCAACCGAGGGCGGTGTCTCTCTGCCTCATCGGAATGCAGCTCACCAAGGCTCCCGGCATCTCCCGGCATTCCAGCATAGAGAGCCATGGCCCAAGCATAATCCAGAACTCCTCGCAAAGTTGACCCGGATTGACCCATCTCCTGCAACCTCAGGCACAACAGGATACCCTTCAGACAAGTGCAACACCTGTCCAGAGTGCTGAAGGCCAAACGCCTTTCTGTAAGAGTTCATGAGAGACAAATCCTCAAAGCACGTAACTCTGGAACTGTGCTAAGGCTTAAGGACGCTTCATGACAAAGGCCTTGCAACTGAAGCCCGCGATCAGGATGTCCAGGTCGTTGGGGATCGGTTGCGGCTTTCTGGAAAGGACCTGAGTTAAAATTAGGTTTTTGAATGCAAGGTAGGGCCACAAGAAGAAAAACCAAGGCCAAAGCATCCCAAGCTCGTTTTCGACCCATCTGCCTGCAAAGCAAGGTCATCTCCGCACACAAAAAGAAGGCTAAACGGCAAACAGCCAGGCTCACACGCAGTCTTTGAAGAGCAAAGGACACTCTGGGAAGTTGGCTTGGAGAAACTCCTGCCAAAACGGGAAAAGTTGGTGGCAGCCAAGTTTTCTGAGGTTGAAACCATGGGCCCTGGCATGAGCCCTTAACCCTGGGATCTGCATAACCTACATGTACCCTCAAGGATCCCTAGAATCCCCCTAAGAGGCCTTAGGGCTCATATTGGGGGCACATTCTTCCTTAGAAGTTTGAGGTTTGCCGCCCATGAAAACTCACAATCCCTGCAAAGCCTGCTTCCTGGCATCATACTCGACAGAGAATGCCTCGGTGCTCTCGAGTCTACAGCTTGCAGGAGAGACTATTGGGGTATATAGGGATAATGGAAAAGAAAATGGAAACCACCATAATGGAT